GTCTTCAACACCCCTGGTTGTCTTCAACACCCCTGGTTGTCTTCAAGACTCCTGGTTGTCTTCAAGACCCCTGGTTGTCTTCAAGACTCCTGGTTGTCTTCAACACCCCTGGTTGTCTTCAACACCCCTGGTTGTCTTCAAGACCCCTGGTTGTCTTCAAGATCCCTGGTTGTCTTCAAGACCCCTGGTTGTCTTCAAGACCCCTGGTTGTCTTCAAGACTCCTGGTTGTCTTCAAGACTCCTGGTTGTCTTCAAGACTCCTGGTTGTCTTCAAGACTCCTGGTTGTCTTCAACACCCCTGGTTGTCTTCAAGACTCCTGGTTGTCTTCAAGACTCCTGGTTGTCTTCAACACCCCTGGTTGTCTTCAAGACTCCTGGTTGTCTTCAAGACTCCTGGTTGTCTTCAAGACTCCTGGTTGTCTTCAAGACTCCTGGTTGTCTTCAAGACTCCTGGTTGTCTTCAAGACTCCTGGTTGTCTTCAACACTCCTGGTTGTCTTCAAGACTCCTGGTTGTCTTCAAGACTCCTGGTTGTCTTCAACACCCCTGGTTGTCTTCAAGACTCCTGGTTGTCTTCAACACCCCTGGTTGTCTTCAACACCCCTGGTTGTCTTCAAGACTCCTGGTTGTCTTCAACACCCCTGGTTGTCTTCAACACCCCTGGTTGTCTTCAAGACTCCTGGTTGTCTTCAAGACTCCTGGTTGTCTTCAACACCCCTGGTTGTCTTCAAGACTCCTGGTTGTCTTCAACACCCCTGGTTGTCAACACCCCTGGTTGTCTTCAACACCCCTGGTTGTCTTCAACACCCCTGGTTGTCTTCAACACCCCTGGTTGTCTTCAACACCCCTGGTTGTCTTCAACACCCCTGGTTGTCTTCAAGACTCCTGGTTGTCTTCAAGACTCCTGGTTGTCTTCAAGACCCCTGGTTGTCAAGACTCCTGGTTGTCTTCAAGACTCCTGGTTGTCTTCAAGACTCCTGGTTGTCTTCAAGACCCCTGGTTGTCTTCAAGACCCCTGGTTGTCTTCAAGACCCCTGGTTGTCTTCAAGACCCCTGGTTGTCTTCAAGACCCTTGGTTGTCTTCAAGACCCCTGGTTGTCTTCAAGACCCCTGGTTGTCTTCAACACCCCTGGTTGTCTTCAACACCCCTGGTTGTCTTCAAGATCCCTGGTTGTCTTCAACACCCCTGGTTGTATTCAACACCCCTGGTTGTATTCAACACCCCTGGTTGTCTTCAACACCCCTGGTTGTCTTCAAGACCCCTGGTTGTCTTCAAGATCCCTGGTTGTCTTCACACCCCTGGTTGATTCAACACCCCTGGTTGTATTCAACACCCTGGTTGTCTTCAACACCCTGGTTGTCTTCAACACCCTGTTGTCTTCAACACCCCTGGTTGTCTTCAAGACCCCTGGTTGTCTTCAAGATCCCTGGTTGTCTTCAACACCCCTGGTTGTCTTCAAGATCCCTGGTTGTCTTCAAGACCCCTGGTTGTCTTCAAGACCCCTGGTTGTCTTCAAGTGGGAGCTGGACAGACACACAGTAACTAGCCAGCCAGGCTATGGTTCCTACGTTGGTTTACGTGCAGCCAGCAGTAACAACCTGGTTGATCAGGTTCTGATCCACCACCAGGCCTGGTTATGGACCGTCCCGCGGAAGAGTTAGCACCATGGTCTGGAACAAGGTGGTCAGTCCCTCAGCCTGGAGAAGAGTTCAGCACCATGGTCTGGAACAAGGTGGTCAGTCCCTCAACCTGGAGAAGAGTCCAGCACCATGGTCTGGAACAAGGTGGTCAGTCCCTCAGCCTGGAGAAGAGTCCAGCACCATGGTCTGGAACAAGGTGGTCAGTCCCTCAGCCTGGAGAAGAGTCCAGCACCATGGTCTGGAACAAGGTGGTCAGTCCCTCAACCTGGAGAAGAGTTCAGCATCATGGTCTGGAACGATATCGTTCCAGCATCTCTGAGCCACCAACGCTATGTACAGATATCTCAAGTGACAAATATCTGTGAGGGTATCTTAATGGGATTGAGTATTATCTCTGATCCTCTTGTGGACTCCTGATAAGAGAATTGAAGATTATCTTTTGTCTGACTCGATCCTGTGTTGATTAGGTGACGATTTATGATTGTGCAGCCACTGTGTGTCTTATAACCTCAACGTTACGCCCAGAAATCTTTCATTCGATTATAGGTTGAGGGACTGACCCCCCTATCTGTCTAGGTTCAGGGACTGACCACCCTATCTGTCTAGGTTGAGGGACTGACCACCCTATCTGTCTAGGTTGAGGGACTGACCCCCCTATCTGTCTAGGTTGAGGGACTGACCACCCTATCTGTCTAGGTTGAGGGACTGACCCCCCTATCTGTCTAGGATGAGGGACTGACCCCCTATCCGTCTAGGTTGAGGGACTGACCCCCCTATCCGTCTAGGTTGAGGGACTGACCCCCTATCTGTCTAAGGGTTTAGGGACGGGCCCCCTATCCGTCTAGGTTTTAGGGACTGACCCCCTATCTGTCTAGGTTGAGGGACTGACCCCCCTATCTGTCTAGGTTGAGGGACTGACCTCCCTATCTGTCTAGGTTGAGGGACTGACCCCCCTATCTGTCTAGGTTGAGGGACTGACCCCCCTATCTGTCTAGGTTGAGGGACTGACCCCCTATCTGTCTAGGTTGAGGGACTGACCCCCCTATCTGTCTAGGTTGAGGGACTGACCCCCCTATCTGTCTAGGTTGAGGGACTGACCCCCACATCTTTCTAGGTTGACTGACCCCCCTATCTATAGGTTGAGGGACTGACCCCCCTATCTGTCTATTTTAAGGGACTGACCCATCTGTCTAGTTTGAGGGACTGACCCCCATATCTGTCTAGGTTGAGTGACTGACCCCCCTATCTGTCTAGGTTGAATGACTGACTCCCCTATCTGTCTAGGTTGAGGGACTGACCCCCATATCTGTCTAGGTTGAGGGACTGACCCCCCTATCTGTCTAGGTTGAGGGACTGAACCCCCTATCTGTCTAGGTTGAGGGACTGACCCCCCTATCTGTCTAGGTTGAGGGACTGACCCCCCTATCTGTCTAGGTTGAGGGACTGACCCCCATATCTGTCTAGGTTGAGGGACTGACCCCCATATCTGTCTAGGTTGAGGGACTGACCCCCATATCTGTCTAGGTTGAGGGACTGAACCCCCTATCTGTCTAGGTTGAGGGACTGACCCCCCTATCTGTCTAGGTTGAGGGACTGAACCCCCTATCTGTCTAGGTTGACGGACTGACCCCCCTATCTGTCTAGGTTGAGGGACTGACCCCTACATCTTTCTAGGTTGACTGACCCCCCTATCTGTAGGTTGAGGGACTGACCCCCACATCTTTCTAGGTTGACTGACCCCCCTATCTGTAGGTTGAGGGACTGACCCCCATATCTATTTTGAGGGACTGACCCTTCTGTCTAGTTTGAGGGACTGACCCCCATATCTGTCTAGGTTGAGGGACTGACCCCCCTATCTGTCTAGGTTGAGGGACTGACCCCCATATCTGTCTAGGTTGAGGGACTGACCCCCATATCTGTCTAGGTTGAGGGACTGACCCCCCTATCTGTTTAGGTTGACGGACTGACCCCCCTAACTGTCTAGGTTGAGGGAATGACCCATTATCTCTCTAGGTTGAGGGACTGACCCCCCTATCCGTCTAGGTTGAGGGACTGACCCCCCTATCCGTCTAGGTTGAGGGACTGACCCCCCTATCCGTCTAGGTTGAGGGACTGACCCCATGTTGAGGGACTGACCTCCCCTATCTGTCTAGGTTGAGGGACTGACCTCCCCTATCTGTCTAGGTTGAGGGACTGACCCCCTATCTGTCTAGGTTGAGGGACCGACCCCCCTATCTGTCTAGGTTGAGGGACTGACCCCCCCGTCTGTCTAGGTTGAGGGACTGACCCCCTATCTGTCTAGGTTGAGGGACTGACCCCCCTATCTAGGTTGAGAAACTGACCCCCCTATCTGTCTAGGTTGAGGGACTGACCCCCTGTCTGTCTAGGTTGAGGGACTGACCCCCTATCTGTCTAGGTTGAGGGACTGACCCCCCTATCTGTCTAGGTTGAGGGACTGACCCCCCTATCTGTCTAGGTTGAGGGACTGACCCCCCTATCTGTCTAGGTTGAGGGACTGACCCCCCTATCTGTCTAGGTTGAGGACTGACCCCCTATCTGTCTAGGTTGAGAAACTGACCCCCCTATCTGTCTAGGTTGAGGGACTGACCCCTGTCTGTCTAGGTTGAGGGACTGAACCCCCTATCTGTCTAGGTTGAGGGACTGACTCCCCCCTATCTGTCTAGGTTGAGGGACTGACTCCCCCCTATCTGTCTAGGTTGAGGGACTGACCCCCCTATCTGTCTAGGTTGAGGGACTGACTCCCCCCTATCTGTCTAGGTTGAGGGACTGACCCCCCCTATCTGTCTAGGTTGAGGGGCTAACCCCCCTATCCGTCAAGGGACTGACCCCCCTAGGAGGGCTATACAAGTATATATCCACTATACACACACGTATATATCCAGTATACACACACGTATATATCCAGTATACACACACGTATATATCCAGTATACACACACGTATATATCCAGTATACACACGTATATATCCAGTATACACACACGTATATATCCAGTATACACACACGTATATATCCAGTATACACACACGTATATATCCAGTATACACACACGTATATATCCAGTATACACACGTATATATCCAGTATACACACACGTATATATCCAGTAAAACACACACGTATATATCCAGTATACACACACGTATATATCCAGTATACACACACGTATATATCCAGTATACACACACGTATATATCCAGTATACACACACATATATATCCAGTATACACACACGTATATATCCAGTATACACACACGTATATATCCAGTATACACACACGTATATATCCAGTATACACACACGTATATATCCAGTATACACACGTAGACACACTCACTGCCAGTGCTGGCTGGGTACTGACTGCTGCCTCTCTCTTGATACCCTCTCTCTGTCCTGCCCACCACTACCCAACTACCACTGCCCATTACATGCCATTTCCATAAGGCTTTAGCGCTTCTCTGTCATCCGTAATGAAATACAAATTGTATTTTATTGAATATAAATACAATAAGCATGTATATATACACTGAGATGTGTATGTCTCAGTGTATATACACTGAGAGGTGTATATATATACACTGAGAGGTGTATATATACACTGAGATGTGTATGTCTCAGTGTATATACACTGAGAGGTGTATATATACACTGAGAGGTGTATATATACACTGAGATGTGTATGTCTCAGTGTATATACACTGAGAGGTGTATATATACACTGAGAGGTGTATATATACACTGAGATGTGTATGCCTCAGTGTATATACACTGAGAGGTGTATATATACACTGAGAGGTGTATATATACACTGAGATGTGTATGCTCAGTGTATATACACTGAGAGGTGTAATATACACTGAGAGGTGTATATATACACTGAGAGTGTATGCTCAGTGTATATACACTGAGAGGTGTATATATACACTGAGAGGTGTATATATACACTGAGATGTGTATGTCTCAGTGTATATACACTGAGAGGTGTATATATACACTGAGAGGTGTATATATACACTGAGAGGTATGTCCGTGTATTACTCGAAGGTGTATAATACACTGAGAGGTGTATATATACACAGAGAGTGTATCCAGTTAATACACTGAGAGGTGTATATATACACTGAGAGGTGTATATATACACTGAGATGTGTATATATACACTGAGATGTGTATATCTCAGTGTATATATACTGTGAAGTGTATATCTCAGTGTATATACATTGAGAGGTGTATATCTCAGTGTATATACACTGAGAGGTGTATATCTCAGTGTATATACACTAAGATAGGTATATCTCAGTGTATATACACTGAGAGGTGTATATCTCAGTGTATATACACTGAGAGGTGTATATCTCAGTGTATATACACTAAGATGTGTATGTCTCAGTGTATATATACTGTGAGGTGTATATCTCAGTGTATATACACTGAGAGGTGTATATCTCAGTGTATATATACTGTGAGGTGTATATCTCAGTGTATATACACTGAGAGGTGTATATCTCAGTGTATATACACTGAGAGGTGTATATCTCAGTGTATATACACTGAGAGGTGTATATTCTCAGTGTATATACACTGAGAGGTGTATATCTCAGTGTATATACACTGAGAGGTGTATATCTTCAAGACTCCTGGTTGTCTTCAAGACCCCTGGTTGTCTTCAAGACCCCTGGTTGTCTTCAAGACCCCTGGTTGTCTTCAAGACCCCTGGTTGTCATCAAGACCCCTGGTTGTCTTCAAGACCCCTGGTTGTCTTCAAGACCCCTGGTTGTCTACAAGACCCCTGGTTGTCTTCAAAACCACTGGTTGTCTTCAAGACCCCTGGCTGTCTTCAAGACCCCTGGTTGTCTTCAAGACCCCTGGTTGTCTTCAAGACCCCTGGTTGTCTTCAAGACCCCTGGTTGTCTTCAAGACCCCCGGTTGTCTTCAAGACCCTTGGTTGTCTTCAAGACTCCTGGTTGTCATCAAGACTCCTGGTTGTCTTCAAGACCCCTGGCTGTCTTCAAGACCCCCGGTTGTCTTCAAGACCCTTGGTTGTCTTCAAGACTCCTGGTTGTCTTCAAGACCCCTGGTTGTCTTCAAGACCCCTGGTTGTCTTCAAGACCCCTGGTTGTCTTCAGACCCCTGGTTGTCTTCAAGACCCCGGTTGTCTTCAAGACCCTTGGTTGTCTTCAAGACTCCTGGTTGTCATCAAGACTCCTGGTTGTCTTCAAGACCCCTGGTTGTCTTCAAGACCCCTGGTTGTCTTCAAGACCCCTGGTTGTCTTCAAGACCCCTGGTTGTCTTCAAGACCACTGGTTGTCTTCAAGACCCCTGGCTGTCTTCAAGACCCCTGGTTGTCTTCAAGACCCCTGGTTGTCTTCAAGACCCCTGGTTGTCTTCAAGACCCCTGGTTGTCTTCAAGACCCCCGGTTGTCTTCAAGACCCTTGGTTGTCTTCAAGACCCCTGGTTGTCTTCAAGACCCCTGGTTGTCTTCAAGACCCCTGGTTGTCTTCAAGACCCCTGGTTGTCTTCAAGACCCTTGGTTGTCTTCAAGACCCTTGGTTGTCTTCAAGACCCTTGGTTGTCTTCAAGACCCCTGGTTGTCTTCAAGACCCCTGGTTGTCTTCAAGACCCCTGGTTGTCTTCAAAACCCCTGGTTGTCTTCAAGACCCCTGGTTGTCTTCAAGACCCCCGGTTGTCTTCAAGACCCTTGGTTGTCTTCAAGACCCTTGGTTGTCTTCAAGACCCCTGGTTGTCTTCAAGACCCCTGGTTGTCAAGACCCCTGGTTGTCTTCAAGACCCCTGGTTGTCTTCAAGACCCCTGGTTGTCTTCAAGAGGGAGCTGGACAGACACAGTATCTGACTAGCCAGGCTGTGGTTCCTACGTTGGTTTACGTGCAGCCAGCAGTAACAACCTGGTTGATCAGGTTCTGATCCACCACCAGGCCTGGTTATGGACCGTCCCGCGGAAGAGTTAGCACCATGGTCTGGAACAAGGTGGTCAGTCCCTCAGCCTGGAGAAGAGTTCAGCATCATGGTCTGGAACAAGTTGGTCAGTCCCTCAGCCTGGAGAAGAGTTCAGCATCATGGTCTGGAACAAGTTGGTCAGTCCCTCAGCCTGGAGAAGAGTTCAGCACCATGGTCTGGAACAAGTTGGTCAGTCCCTCAGCCTGGAGAAGAGTTCAGCACCATGGTCTGGAACAAGGTGGTCAGTCCCTCAGCTTGGAGAAGAGTTCAGCACCATGGTCTGGAACAAGGTGGTCAGTCCCTCAGCCTGGAGAAGAGTTCAGCTCCATGGTCTGGAACAAGGTGGTCAGTCCCTCAGCCTGGAGAAGAGTTCAGTACCATGGTCTGGAACAAGGTGGTCAGTCCCTCAGCCTGGAGAAGAGTCCAGCACCATGGTCTGGAACAAGGTGGTCAGTCCCTCAGCCTGGAGAAGAGTCCAGCACCATGGTCTGGAACAAGGTGGTCAGTCCCTCAGCCTGGAGAAGAGTTCAGTACCATGGTCTGGAACAAGGTGGTCAGTCCCTCAGCCTGGAGAAGAGTCCAGCACCATGGTCTGGAACAAGGTGGTCAGTCCCTCAGCCTGGAGAAGAGTCCAGCACCATGGTCTGGAACAAGGTGGTCAGTCCCTCAGCACTGTCTCTCCTACGATGATAGACTGAGGGCACTATCCCCCCGATAATAGACTCAGGGCACTGTCTATCCTACGATGATAGACTGAGGGCACTGTCTCTCCTACGATGATAGACTGAGGGCACTATCCCCCCGATAATAGACTCAGGGCACTCTCTATCCTACGATAATAGACTGAGGGCACTATCCCCCCGATAATAGACTGAGGGCACTATCCCCCCGATAATAGACTCAGGGCACTGTCTATCCTACGATAATAGACTGAGGGCACTATCCCCCCGATAATAGACTCAGGGCACTGTCTCTCCTACGATGATAGACTGAGGGCACTATCCCCCGATAATAGACTCAGGGCACTGTCTATCCTACGATGATAGACTGAGGGCACTATCCCCCGATGATAGACTCAGGGCACTGTCTATCCTACTCATGGCACTGTCTATCCTACTCAGGGCAGTGAACGTACACTCTCTGGAGAGACGTAGAATTAAGGGAGGTAGAATTGAAGTGTATAAATGGAATACAGGAATAAATAAAGGGGATAGAAATAACGTGATAAAAATATCTCACCAACGCAAGACTCAAGTTAGAGAAATTTAGATTTAGAAAGAAGATTTGAAAGAACAGGTTTGGTAATAGAGTTGGTTAATTGATTCGTCAGGATCTGCGTCCTGACGCTGGGCTTAATCCTATGATGTTCCGTATAAGGACTGGCTTCACTGTGATATATTTAATATAGGATAGCTGGGTGAGGTCATCTGGGAGGCCAGATGACCTGACCCAGGCGTTTTGTGTCTGGGTGAGGTCATCTGGGAGGCCAGATGACCTGACACAGGCGTTTTGTGTCTGGGTGAGGTCATCTGGGAGGCCAGATGACCTGACACAGGCGTTTTGTGTCTGGGTGAGGTCATCTGGGAGGCCAGATGACCTGACCCAGGCGTTTTGTGTCTGGGTGAGGTCATCTGGGAGGCCAGATGACCTGACACAGGCGTTTTGTGTCTGGGTGAGGTCATCTGGGAGGCCAGATGACCTGACCCAGGCGTTTTGTGTCTGGGTGAGGTCATCTGGGAGGCCAGATGACCTGACACAGGCGTTTTGTGTCTGGGTGAGGTCATCTGGGAGGCCAGATGACCTGACCCAGGCGTTTTGTGTCTGGGTGAGGTCATCTGGGAGGCCAGATGACCTGACACAGGCGTTTTGTGTCTGGGTGAGGTCATCTGGGAGGCCAGATGACCTGACACAGGCGTTTTGTGTCTGGGTGAGGTCATCTGGGAGGCCAGATGACCTGACCCAGGCGTTTTGTGTCTGGGTGAGGTCATCTGGGAGGCCAGATGACCTGACCCAGGCGTTTTGTGTCTGGGTGAGGTCATCTGGGAGGCCAGATGACCTGACACAGGCGTTTTGTGTCTGGGTGAGGTCATCTGGGAGGCCAGATGACCTGACCCAGGCGTTTTGTGTCTGGGTGAGGTCATCTGGGAGGCCAGATGACCTGACACAGGCGTTTTGTGTCTGGGTGAGGTCATCTGGGAGGCCAGATGACCTGACACAGGCGTTTTTGTGTGTGGATGAGGTCATCTGGGAGGCCAGATGACCTGACACAGGGGTTTTGTGTCTGGGTGAGGTCATCTGGGAGGCCAGATGACCTGACCCAGGCGTTTTGTGTCTGGGTGAGGTCATCTGGGAGGCCAGATGACATGACACAGGCGTTTTGTGTCTGGGTGAGGTCATCTGGGAGGCCAGTTCGAGATGACCTGACCCAGGCGTTTTGTGTCTGGGTGAGGTCATCTGGGAGGCCAGA